TGTTGGGTAGATTACATGAAAGAATTTTGCCTCAATAGTGGGGAAGTATTAGCCATATTCTAAATGCTGCCCTGAGCCATACTAAAAAAGCTTATAAACAAAACCTATAAAGATCAAATTATTTCCAGGTAATGTACCCATATCCCAGAACAAAACTGAAGAATATTTATAAGAATACAAAAATAGCTAACACACAAGTTAAAATTAATAATGTCTAGTATTTAATTAAATATTACCAGACATTCCTCATCTAGGTAAACAGAACCCATGATGAGGAGAAAAATCAATCAATCGCAACTGAACTAGAATTGACACAGATAATTGAATTATTAGACAAAGACATTCAAGTTATTATAATTGCTTTTCATTTATTCAAGATGCAAGAGGAAATATTGATGATATTAAGTAGAGACATCGAAAGTATAAAAAAGAAACAAACTAAACTGTAGAGTTAAAAGAATGCCCGAGATGTAAAATAAACCCTATTGGATTAAAGGTAGAGATAACTCATGGCAGAAAAAGAGATTAGCGAACTTGAAGACTTAAAAAATATCCAAAATGAATCACAGAAACATAAAAGACTAAAAAAGCATGAAGACAGTTATCAGTGAGCTGTGGAATGACCTCAAGCAGCCTTATGTGTATGTAATTGCAGTTCCTGAAGGAGAAAAAGAAGGATAAACAGAAAAAGTATTTGGAGATACAATAGTCAATACTTTTCCAAATTTGATTAAAATTGTAAAGCCACACATCCAAAAAGCTTAAAAAAAAACAATAAAATAAACATGAATCAAGATACTTAAAACTAGTAATAAAGAGAAAACCTAAAAGTCAGCTGAAGGAAAAGGACAAATTGTGAACAGAGGAACAAAGATGGCAGCAGATTTCTCTCGTGGTAAACAATGTAAGCCAGCAGACAGTAGAGAATCTTTAAGTTACTGAAAGAATAAAAACAAACAAACAAACAACAACCCCAAAAAACTATCAACCAAGAATTCTGTATCCAGGACAAGTATCTTTCAAAAAATGAAGCCAGAGAAGATGTGGCCTCAAAGGAGGATCACTCTTGCCATGATGGTATAAATCACTGGACCCACCAGACATACCACATGGTAAATCCAGCAGTAGGATGTTGGTAGAGTGAGAGGCCAGCCATGGTAAGGACACTAGAAGGTCAGCATAAAACTGGCCATTTACCTAGCCATCTTTCCTCCCCTTTTATATGCTCTGGTAGCATGGGAGGTTGTGAGGGTCTTGTTGTCCTTCAGTACCTCCAGATTCAGTGGGTCCCCTACCACAGCTACTATAGTTGTCCTGGCAAGTGTGAGATATTTCTTTAAAGTGCTTTTCATTTTTCTGGGCTGCACCCAAGAAAAAAGGCCCACGAGTCTTCTACTTTGGGATTTGAGTTTATATTAGGGGTTCTATTGTTTTCCCTTACTCCTACCCCAGGGCTCTATTCTTGGAGTCAGAAATATGCCGGCTTACCAAATTCTGTCTAACTCTTTTACTTTCTCTGAAAATCTTCTTCCTATTTCCTCCAGCCCATAGAAGTTGTGTGTATTCTCTCTGTAGTAGGAAACTGTTTCGCTTCCTGCAAATCTATTATTTATGCCAGAATCTGAACTATTGGGAACTTAAAACCTTCAATTTGAGTTATTTTATTTTTATTTGCATTTCTTTCACTGCATCCTTTCACAAATAGACTGTAGGAGACCAAAAAAATACCACATGTACTCAGGTTATCACTGTGTTAGAACTGAAAATATTTTCTCCTGGCACATTGCTTATGTTGAGCTTTCTTTATTCTGCTCTTTCATAGCCAGCTGAGAGTCAGAAGAGTACTGTGTGTGCATGCATGTGTGTGCACACCTACAATGAGTTATTAAGGGGAAAAAGGCTAACACTCAAGACAAATTTAGCTGATGGGCAGCATTTCTCGAGGGCTAGCCCTGGTTATGATATCGAGAACGCTCCCTAATGCCTTCTATGGTCTATAGACTATTATTCAGATTGGGAGCTTACAGCCCTGGCAGGAAGTTCACTGGGGAAAAATCTATTGAATCATTTCTTGGATTAAACAGGCAAATCAGTCATGTGTCTGAGCCTAGAAGTGTTACCAGAAGTTCCCCAGGAGAAAAGTCACAGGAGATTACCAAACATTACTTGAGATGGAAGAAATAGGTAAATGACTGAATTTTTAATTTTTGTCTAATGCTTGGTCATTGTTGTACACATTGTAAAATGGACCCTGATAGTCATGGAGCAACTTTAAAGATTTTATTTATTTATTTATTTGACAGAGACAGACACAGCGAGAGAGGGAACACAAGCAGGGAGAGTGGGAGAGGGAGAAGCAGGCTCCCCGCAGAGCAGAGAGCCCGATGCGGGGCTCGATCCCAGGACCCTAGGATCATGACCTGAGCCGAAGGCAGATGCTTAACGACTGAGCTACCCAGGCGCCCCTGGAGCAACTTTAAAAGTGTAAAGTGGCACTGTCTTCTATCGATAAATATTTTTGAGAGAAATCTTGCTAATGTTGCAGAGATAATGGCTATAACAATAGCTAACCTTTGTCATATTTCATCCAGTCTAAGATGTTATCAGCTTTAAGATGTACTATCATTTTGTGTACCAAAAGGAAAAAAAAAGTCAATAAAACTCTAGCAGAATGCTCTTAGAGTATTTTTAATTTTTTTTAAAGGGTATTTTTTTTTAAAGATTTTATTTATTTATTTGACAGAGAGAGAGCACAGCAGGGGGAACTGCAGTCAGAGGGAGAAGCAGGCTCCCTTCTGAGCAAGGAGCTTGATGCGGGATTGGATCCCACGACCCTGGGATCATGACCTATCAGAAGGCAGACGCTTAACTGACTGAGCCACCCAGCCACCCCTCTTGAATATTTTTTTAAATAATTTATTGATAAAGCCCTTTTAGACTTATTTAAACATAAACTTTTATCATTTATCCATTTTGGGAGTATATTTAAAGGAAAATACAAGAGAAATTAACTCCTTTCTTCCTTCCCTCCTTCCTTCATCCCTCCCTCCTTCTCCCCTCCCTCCCTCTTTTCCTTCCTTCCTTCCTTCCTTCCTTCCTTCCTTCCTTCCTTCCTTCCTTCCTTCCTTCCTTCCTTCCTTCCTTCCCTCCTTCCTTCCTTCCTTCCTCTCTTGTTTTTGTCTTCATGATCCTATAGCTCTGGAACTTAAGTTCAAAGTTGGAAGGAATTTTTTTTTTACAAATTCTTGTTTAATGCCCTATTGTGCTCTGTAAAATATGAATTTGTCATATCAGCTTGTCATTTCCTTTTACCTCTTCCCTATATCAGTTTATCCTGTCTTCATTTCTACTGCTTGGTGTGTTATAGATAATCTTTTTGTAGATACCTAAGTAAGAAAACGTTAACAGCCTCATTTACTTGCAGGTATCGATGTAGTTTGGAATTCTGGGGTCCAGAGCTGATGGCCAAGAAAGAATTCTTGAGATGTTTTGGTGCTAAAAGGTGGTTTTATTGAAGCGCAGGGTCAGGACCCATGGGCAGAAAGAACTGGTGCCCCAGGATTGTGAGGAGCAACTGATTTGTATATTTTGGGGTTGGGGGAAGGAAAGATAAAGGGAAGTTTCCACAAGGATTTTCAAATGCTAAAGAAGACTCACAGGATCCTGGAGGCCTAGCTATTGTCAAGCTAATATTGGTTTTCCCTCTAGCGAAACATTAACATTAAGACAGTTGGGAGTTTGCTGAAGGAATGTTATACTCCACCTGCCTCAAGTATTTGTCGGTGGGCTGCAGGTTATAAGGAAATTTAATTTTACCTGCATTTCTTTCTGCCTTTGTTCTCCCCATCAGGTATCTTTCTTAGGTCTTGATTGTTGCTTTGCAAGAAAATACGGAATTTTGTGATTTTTCAACAATGATATTTGTGTCCTTAATATCAAATGTCACAATATTCATTTTCTGTGACCTCAAGAATACATTTTAACAATGATATTTGTGTCCTTAATATCAAATGTCACAATATTCATTTTCTGTGACCTCAAGAATACATTTTAACTATGATTTCAATTGGAATCATAGCGCTATCTTTTTAAAAGACATCGAAAAAGCCAATGACACTCGGCACATATACAAACAACTATGCACATACATCAATTGAAGTGACAATAATGTGGGCATCCATGTTTGAAATCACACAAGCACAAAGGATGACATTGACCTCACAGATGCTCCCTAGTCAACAGAGACTACAAATTGTTCTCTTGTTCTGAGTTGCTCTGAGCCTCTTGATTATGATGCTGTAAGGTAGAAATGCCTGGGGGCACTCACCTGTGCCCATACTAGCCCTAACAGACATTTCCTGATTGGAGACAATACTCTTCCTGGACTGAACCTTGTGGTTCTTACTATGATTGCAGAACACACCTCAGCGACAACCATCAGGAAACTTTGAAACACTCTTACTCACAAGTCCTGGAGGATGCATACCACACCCAGGGCCACAGATAAGGTAGCAGTAAGAGAGAGAGAGAGAAAGAGAGAAAGAAAGAGACAGAGAGACACCTAGAGTTTTCCAGGTTCACTATTAATTGGGGAATTTAAAACATGAGTGGGACGTAAGCCTGGAGAAGGGAAAGCACGGTTACTCAGATAGGGCTTTTTAAAAGGGGAAACTCATGGGTGGGGAGGCCTGGCCCTTTATCTAGTTGTGTAGCCGCCAATGTGTTTATTTGAGATGGATGTCTTTGAAATGGATGCCTTGACAACCAAAGCTTAATGTCAAGCACTGACATTACAATAAAAAAAGCTAATGGTCACGCATTTACACTACACATCTATTGTAAGACGCTTCCCAATTTCAGAGCTGTTAAAACATTATAGAAAATGCATTTTGGAACTAAAGAAATTCAACATTGAGCATTTATCACTGGCTAAGTGCTTTACATAGAACTTAAGTAATCATTGCAAATCAGGATTACCACTTTTCATCTCTATTTTGCAGATGAGGGAATTGAAGCTCACGGAGGTATATAACTTGCCCTTGGTCATAAAACTGGCAAATTGAGGAACTGAGATTTTAACACAACTCTACCTGATAGAGGACCCAAGCTCCTTACCACTGTGCTATCCTTGCTTTGGGGACTGGAATGAAGGAGTCCAAAGCTGCTTTAAAGTTAGTATGGCTCTCCAAAATCACTTTTACATTATTTTTGTTCTAAACTATTTGCTTGCTCTTCAAGCAAACTTCACTGTATGATTTAGAGTAAGTATTCGCTATACATTTGTAGAATGAATAAAAGCTGTTATAATCTGTTCTGAGTATTGAATGTCCATAATATACCAAAGTTATGTTATGGGAAAATACAACTGTTGAGAAAAGACTTGTAACGGGAACTTACTTTCATAAAGATGCATGTAAAAGTCCAGATAGTTTGGATAACTCTCCAGGCTCCAACAGTGTTATCCATTACTGCTATATTAAAATGTATTAAATACCACTTAAAGGGTATTGACAGTCAACAAATAATAGACCACTTTGTGATCATCCTTATTTTGAATACATATTTTTTTCTGTTTGGCTATTATACCAAAGGCAATGAGCATAGATTCTCATGCTCAAAAGGGAGTGGGTTGGGCGAAGGAGAAGAGCAGAGTGAAAGGGAGATCCACATTCACCTGTCGGAGAACATCCATTTCTGGGAGTCCAGGTGGAAAGGTAGAATTGATTGGTTTAGAGAAAAGAGGCCTATCAGGTAGAATTAATATTGCTTCTTATTATTTTAATTGAACCTTTCAATATAGGTCTATCTCAAGAGTATTAGCAAAGTATGAATGATATGTGATAAAAGAATAAATTTCTTTCTTTAATGGACATCAAATAAAGCAGAATATAAATAACATCCTTTATGTGGTCCATTTGCTACAGCAAGTATTAGAATAGAATTGTCAGAAATGTCCTGCCCAGGTCTTGCCTGACGGGGGCCAAGGGCTGAACCCCACAGAATGTGACCTTAAGAGGCAATATATTGGTCTTTGGAAGAGAATTCTTGAAGAACTCTTTGGTCCTGGAAATTCACATTGAAAGCCATCCCTTCCAGCTGCTGAAGTGACTATGGAAGCGTGTATTAAGGTGGAGCCTCTTTCAGCCTGTTTCTTCCAGTGATGCAATGAGCAGAAGCCACTGCCAAGCCAACTAGACACTGAGCATGAGTGACAAATAAACTTTTGGTCTGCTTGCTGCTGAATTTTGCAGTTATTTGTTACCACACCATAACCTGACCTATCATCAATGACCTGAGTGAGGTCAATTTCTGCCTCAACCTTTGTCTTTGTTCAGTGCTCTGTATGAGAATGTGAAATGATTACAGAGTATTCTGAGGAGACTACAGACTCGGGTACTCCAGTTAACATACCCCAAGTGCAAGATAAGTTAGCTGTAAATATTTTGAATGTTTAACTTTACCAGGTGAAATTGAACTGAGACATCCATCTCCAGATGGGGATTTACCTGCCACAAAGAGGACTGGAGAAGCCATACCTTTAACTACCACACCATCTTTGCTGAATTGTCTTTAGTTGGCACTATTAAGAACTGTCACTCTGACTCTCCCTTTTTCCATATTCTTTGTGGACAAACCCTCGATCTTCTACCTCTTCTGTGTTTGAACAGGCTGTGACCATGAGTAAACCAGCCAACCCTTGCACATTTCAATCTCTAATCTCCTATTTTGTCTTTATTTTGGAAGTAGACTCTTAGAGGCCAATCTATTTACACCAGTTCCCACATGTTTTTTAACCTCATTTTCTCCCATATCTTGCCTATACTAAGCCAGGGGATTTAAGGATAAATTAATCTTGCCCTCCGGGACTGACGTCCTACTACAAAGATGGAAGTTCTATAACACAGGCTGTGCCACACCATGGCACACATCACAAATCTATCACAACACACTGTCTATCTTAGCCTTACATCTTTCTCAGCAGGGCTACCAATAAATTCATTCATTCATCTGTATGTGGATTACTTCAGCAAGAATTTTTGTTGTTGTTATTCAAAGATGTTTATAATTTTTGAACCTCAGCAAGTATTTATTGAACACTTGTTATATTCCAGGTCCTGCTCTAGGCATTGGAAATAAACTAGAAATTATAATACTGAACTTGAGTCTCCAAGATGAAATAAGACAATGCATATAAATACCCTTGTGAACTCTAAAGCTCTATTCAAAGAGATTAGAAAGAAGTTTCCATATTCCTCAATATCACATTTTCTCTCTTTTAGTAACATTTTTGTAAAGTATGGTACCTAATTTATCATTGACATTTTACTTGTTAGTAAACCACAGGCAGAAAGTTGCATAGGCTCAGTAATCTAACAGACTTGTTTTAAAAAAGCTGGCTGTAATATTTACATGGTTAAGTCATTTAAGTTCTTTGGGTCTCTGGTTTTTTATTATGGGGATACATAACACAGTAATAGATACATAAGGACTCTTTACAAATATTTGTAAAGCATTTGGCATTGCAATTAGCACATGGTAAGCTCTCAATAATAATGTTGGCTATTGTTAATACCCTAAAGTCTTAATAACAAGCATTTTTTCCCCATGAAATTCAATAAAGCTACTGAATTTTGAAGAAAAAAAGTAGCTTATAACCCTTTTTATTTTCCTTAAATTATCCCTTGTGCAAAACAAACAAAAAAAAAGTTGTTTACCAGCGATTAAGTATTGTTATCACCTGGAGATTGCTACAAATAACAGAATTCCAGAACCCTCCCATGGCTCACTAAGTCAGAATCTGCATTTTATCAAGGTCCCTGGGTCATTGGGATACACATTAGCTTTGAAGAAGCTTTCACTGGGTGAAGGGGTGCATAGAAGTTGCTCAGGACTGATCAGATTCATTTTCATTCCTGTTCAAGCTTCCAGTTTCAGCTTTTCAGTTTTCCATAATTAATGTCCAGAAACCATCAAACAAACAAAATGAAAACAAAGAAGAGTAGAGTATAGAATGAACTTTAAGTTGTCATCCATTTCATTTGGTGTTAAGTTCAACCATGACTCTGCATATGAATCCTTTATCTAAAGTCTATTTAGTCCATGTAACAATTATCCAAGGTAGGCATTATTATCTTCATGACAGAAGAAGTGAAAGTGAATCTTAGTGAGATTACAAATGCTTTAAAAGGACACAGAGCCCATAGGTGGAAAAGCTGGAATTAAATCTTCTGTTTTGTTTTCCAATACCCCCGTGTGCCATTACATCAATTGCCTTACATTTCTGCTCTGTAGGTAATTGATCAAAGAGGAGGCTTTCCTCCTTTCCCACAGATCGGAAACACAGTATCTCCCCTCTGTTTTTACTGGGTCTTAAAATGGTACACATTTTGCGAATGTGAATTATCGAGCCAACATATGGTTTCAATTGAACAGTGCCAATATATCATTGTGAAAAAAAAAAAGAAAGAAAAAGAAAACACAAACTAACCCTTGTACTTTTGCAAATGTGTTTTAATAAAAATCTATAAAGTGAAAGTTCCGGAGTTAAGTAGAGACACATTTATATTTGCTTATTTTTACCTTTACTGTTGATCATGCCTAACAGCCAGAGCACTTTAGACACAGCTTTCATTCATCTGCTTTTATGATTTCCCTGAAATTTGGGGCACTATTTACCAGAATTCAGACTATAGCTTACTGTGCCTGCCTATGGCCTTGTGGTGGCTCAGGAGCTGCAAACTTGAGTGGGATATTTGTTCCAGAAAGATTGTAAGGATTTAACACACCACTCCCATTTTACTGAAAGAGAGATTCATATCCTTGGGTGGGTCTTGCTCAGAAACATTTTAGATTAGGAATCACTGAATTTCAATTAGATTGTGGTTATCCACACCCGAACTAGTTTGGTAAAACCTGATGTGGTAAGGTGGAGGCAATGGTTGAAGTAGGTTACGGGAGAATTCTTTCTCTTCAAGCCGATTTGGCACAAAGTGGAGGAGTCTCTGCAGGTAACTACCGTGACAACAATTACTGTCATTGTTGGCGTAGGGCTCACAGTACTTTCATATTCACTTTGCATTTCATCTACATAATGGATCTTTTGAGGTAGGTACTATCAATATATGAATATACAGGTGTGCGAGAAGTTGTAACCTGCCTTAGTCACAGTTGGTAACTGATACCACAGGTATACATGACCTCTCACTTTGCATTTTTTAAAATATTTTATTTATTTATTTGAGAGAGAGAGAGCACTAGATGGGAGAGGGGCAGAAGGAGAGGGACAAGCAGACTCCTCACTGAGCAGGGAGCCCATAGTGGGGCTGGACATGGGGCTCGATCCCAGGACCCTGAGATTATGACCTGAGCCAAATCACTTAACTGACTGAGCTACCCGGGCACCTCCTCACATTGCATCCTGAGACTTTGCTTAGCTTTAGTGACATCAAACTGTCCTGGTTTTCTTCCTCTTCCAGCTGTCACTTTCAATGGCCTTCTCATATTTTCTTCTGGCTGACTGGGGCTGTATCCGTTGAGGTGCCTTGGGGTGTGTTCCCTGCCCCTTCTCATTCTATTTTCTCACAGATGTTCACATTCCTTCTCATGTCTTTAAATACCATCTATATTCTGATGACTCTAAAATCAAGCAGAAGGGATTTGTCACTTCCATTCCATGGTAGATAAAACAGTTGTGAATTCCCCTGTACTCCTCTTTCTCACACAGGTTTGAGAATGAAAAAATCCAAAATAACGAAGTCATGAGCAAACGAAGCTCACCGTTGCCTCTATGGTATGATATCACATAACTAATAATATTCTGATGCATATAATGCGTACAGAAACTGTACTCTTCATGAGCTTTGTAAATTTATTCAATTGTGTCTTTTTCTACTTCATCTATATTTTTAACATGATTAGTTGTAACACATCTTAGCAGATTCCATTTCCTTTTATATTGAATTATGTTCTCTTAGCTTTGAAATTATTCCTGCCTGTACTTATTCCACCCAGATCACTCAGGCTAATTCTTCAGTTGCTTCAAACTCAGTATTAACTCCTTGAATAAACAACAACTGAACAGTACTGGTAACCACTGCAGACTCATTAAGAGCCTTGAAAAGCACATAAAAGCATTTGTTTTGTTTTTGACTACTGATGTTGTTCCCCATATTCTCAACTATTTGAGCAGTGGTTTTACTGCTCTTAAGCAAGTGTTCTCTGCACACATTTCTTGGGCTGCTGCAATCAAACAGATTTAAGTGAGTCAGCATCGATAACTTGCCCTGTTGGGCTAGCTAACCAATGAGCCACTTGGAAATTTACTTTGGTGGTAGCCTTACTTTTATTTATATCTGGGTGAAGAGAGTCCGCTGTGATGAGATACTAAGTTTTAAACTTTCTAATTTTTTTGACTGTTGCTTTCCCATGAATTGGGAATATTGTGGTGAATGCTTGATAAGGTAATATCATCACATAATATATTCCATAGCTTCGGTGTTATTGAATAATAAACCAAAGCAAAGTCTGCTTTGCTGTCTAATTCGATAACAAAGTAATCCACACTCCACTGTGTCTTAAAAGCATAACATCTGATGTCAACTTTTCTCTCCTTTTTTTGATTTGGTGGGTATTCACTGGTAATAAAAATTACATAAAATAACACATCATGATTATATGTGTGACATGTAGTACTGCTGAGTAGTAACTATGCCGCTGTAATTTATAGTGCACTGAGGAGAAGTGTGAGATTAGTGTTACATATGGTTTGTGTCACAAGGGCTCAACCCTGTCACTACAGTGCAAAAGACAATGTGTAAATGAATGAGTGCAGCTGTGTTCCAATAAGCTTTCTTAGTAACACTGAAATTTGGATTTTACATATTTTTCCCATGTCACAAATATTTTTCTATTGATTTTCAGCCATTTATGAATATAAAAACTATTCTTAGCTTATAGGCCATACAAAAACAGGAGGCCAGTTGGATTTGGTCCAAAGTCCATAGTTTAATTTCTGATCTTGACTAATACACTCTCTGAATTATTGTTTGTACTTCCCAAACCTGTTATTCTCCCATCCTCTTCACCTCTATGAACAACATTGCTACACAAGCTGCTTGAGGTAAAACTTTACTTCAGTCCTTAAGTTCTCCTTTTTTTTTACGTACAAATATTGACTATATTTTATCATTTACTTTTTAT